TCAATGGCTATACACTGATGAACAATCAGATATTAAATTAATTAAATTGGAACGCCCGATGAGTGTACAGCATCAGCTACCTACTCATTATTTCAAATTATGGACTTTAATTGTTGGTGGAATTGTTATGCCAATGAAATAAATGGCCCCCGCAAGCGGCATTTCGTTGTTGCATGAATCTAATATCTGCATATGAGTATCAATACTCTGAATAGCAAACCTACATTGTAGGCAAGTCAAATACTAAACGTTGTTTTCAAGATTTCTCTGTTACATTCAGGTATTTGCTGTCTGTGAGAATCAATGGATACCGTTTGATATTTTGCCAAGGATATGGTGCCCACCGGTGTAATTCTTCAGAAAACCGATGTTTTACGCACGCACGCACGCACGGACGCACGCACGCACGCACGCATGCGCGCGCGCGCGCGCACGCACACACACACACACACACACACACACACACTATCTTAACGTATTACAGAAAATCGTGCGTCTTAAATCGTTTGGTGTTTCAGGTTATACAGTTTTTATGGTATTTTCGGTATTTATTAGAAGCAATGTCATACTTTCAGCACACAAATGACGGGAGTACAGTGGTCACAGATAAGCTTACTATGGTATTTTCGGTATTTATTAGAAGCAATGTCATATTTTCAGGATACAAATGACGGGAGTACAGTGGTCACAGATAAACTTACTATGGTATTTTCGGTATTTCTTAGAAGCAATGTCATACTTTCAGCATGCAAATGACGGGAGTACAGTGGTCACAGATAAGCTAACTATGGTATTTTCGGTATTTCTTAGAAGCAATGTCATACTTTCAGCATACAAATGACGGGAGTACAGTGTTCACAGATAAGCTTACTATGGTATTTTCGGTATTTCTTAGAAGCAATGTCATACTTTCAGCACACAAATGACGGGGGTACAGTGGCCACAGATAAGCTTACTATGGCATTTTCGGTATTTATTAGAAGCAATGTCATACTTTCAGCACACAAATGACGGCAGTACAGTGGTCACAGATAAGCTTACTATGGTATTTTCGGTATTTCTTAGAAGCAATGTCATACTTCCAGCATACAAATGACGCGAGTACAATGGTCACAGATAAGCTTACTATGGTATTTTCGGTATTTATTAGAAGCAATGTCATACTTTCAGCACACAAATGACGGGAGTACAGTGGTCACAGATAAGCTTACTATGGTATTTTCGGTATTTCGTAGAAGCAATGTCATACTTTCAGCATACAAATGACGGGAGTACAGTGGTCACAGATAAGCTTACTATGGTATTTTCGGTATTTATTAGAAGCAATGTCATACTTTCAGCACACAAATGACGGGGGTACAGTGGCCACAGATAAGCTTACTATGGTATTTTCGGTATTTCTTAGAAGCAATGTCATACTTTCAGCATACAAATGACGGGAGTACAGTGGTCACAGATAAGCTTACTATGGTATTTTCGGTATTTCTTAGAAGCAATGTCATATTTTCAGCATACAAATGACGCGAGTACGGTGGTCACAGATAAGCTTACTATGGTATTTTCGATATTTCTTAGAAGCAATGTCATACTTTCAGCACACAAATGACGGGAGTACGGTGGCCACAGATAAACTTACTATGGTATTTTCGGTATTTATTAGAAGCAATGTCATACTTTCAGCACAGAAATGACGGGAGTACAGTGTTCACAGATAAGCTTACTATGGTATTTTCGGTATTTATTAGAAGCAATGTCATATTTTCAGGATACAAATGACGGGAGTAGAGTGGTCACAGATCAGCTTACTATGGTATTTTCTGTATTTCTTAGAAGCAATGTCAAACTTTCAGCATACAAATGACGGGAGTACAGTGGTCACAGATAAGCTAACTATGGTATTTTCGATATTTCGTAGAAGCAATGTCATACTTTCAGCATACAAATGACGGGAGTACAGTGGTCACAGATAAGCTTACTATGGTATTTTCGGTATTTCTTAGAAGCAATGTCATACTTTCAGCACACAAATGACGGGGGTACAGTGGCCACAGATAAGCTTACTATGGTATTTTCGGTATTTATTAGAAGCAATGTCATACTTTCAGCATACAAATGACGGGAGTAGAGTGGTCACAGATAAACTTACTATGGTATTTTCGGTATTTCTTAGAAGCAATGTCATATTTTCAGCATACAAATGACGGGAGTACAGTGGTCACAGATAAGCTTACTATGGTATTTTCGGTATTTCTTAGAAGCAATGTCATACTTTCAGCATACAAATGACGGGAGTACAGTGGTCACAGATAAGCTTACTATGGTATTTTCGGTATTTCTTAGAAGCAATGTCATACCTTCAGCACACAAATGACGGGAGTACAGTGGTCACAGATAAGCTTACTATGGTATTTTCGGTATTTCGTAGAAGCAATGTCATACTTTCAGCATACAAATGACGGGAGTACAGTGGTCACAGATAAGATTACTATGGTATTTTCGGTATTTCTTAGAAGCAATGTCACACTTCCAGCATACAAATGACGCGAGTACAGTGGTCACAGATAAGCTTACTATGGTATTTTCGGTATTTCTTAGAAGCAATGTCATACTTTCAGCATACAAATGACGGGAGTACGGTGGCCACAGATAAACTAACTATGGTATTTTCGGTATTTCTTAGAAGCAATGTCATACTTTCAGCACACAAATGACGGGAGTACAGTGGTCACAGATAAGCTTACTATGGTATTTTCGGTATTTATTAGAAGCAATGTCATACTTTCAGCACACAAATGACGGGAGTACGGTGGCCACAGATAAACTTACTATGGTATTTTCGGTATTTATTAGAAGCAATGTCATACTTTCAGGATACAAATGACGGGAGTAGAGTGGTCACAGATAAACTTACTATGGTATTTCCTGTATTTCTTAGAAGCAATGTCAAACTTTCAGCATACAAATGACGGGAGTACAGTGGTCACAGATAAGCTTACTATGGTATTTTCGGTATTTCTTAGAAGCAATGTCATACTTTCAGCACACAAATAACGGGAGTACAGTGGTCACAGGTCAGCTAACTATGGTATTTTCAGTATTTCTTAGAAGCAATGTCATACTTCCAGCATACACATGACGCGAGTACAGTGGTCACAGATAAGCTTTCTATCTGAGACAGAAACTGTAGCCGACACAGCACTATTTGTTTGACACGGTGTTTGGTTGTGTAAAGAAGGTACACACACCTGGCAAGCAATGTAGGGCGATAAAGAATGACATGGCGACGGACCTGTGCTATGAGCCAAAGTGTTTTCGGATTTAACGTCTGTTTTAAATTAGTTCGAAATTACTGAGAATGGTGCATATTTGCACACATATATCCTTATTCTGAACTTCCTTGCCATTCTTCAAAAACAATGTTGGTGCACTGCAGAAATACGTTTGTTAATTATAATGTTATAATACTTATTATCAGTTCACAAGCTTTGTTTGCAATATACTGATAAAATAGAACAAGCTTATCAGATGAAACGCGGGGTTTAGATGTTTACATTCATTTTGATCCTCGGTGACAGGCTAAACAAACGCCTGGGTCTAAAGACTGTGTGAAGCAAGCACCTAATTCCTGCAACATTCATTCTATTGTACATCATTTTGACTATATGTACTATTCTGGTTTCATCGTATGTCCTTAAAGATTCTAAAAGTACAAACTGAAAATGTACCCACCCGTCTTTACACGGGTGACACATCTCACTGCCAGTCATGAAGTATCTTGACTGGCGACACTACGACCGCGATGTGGGCGAGCTATGACGTCACTGTGACGTGTCTGGTTCGGAGCATGGCGTAGTTTTGCGCTCGACTGCTTTTTCAGAGCAACCGCTAGTGACGATATTAGGCCTACTGCTAAAACCTTGCCATCCCTCCTGTGCGTGAGTCAGCATGCTTTATTTACTAGACAGAATGTGAGTGAGTGAGTGAGTGAGTGAGTGAGTCAACATGCTTCATTTACTAGACAGAATGTGAGTGAGTGAGTGAGTGAGTGAGTGAGTGAGTCAACATGCTTCATTTACTAGATATTTCCCTGGACGATGCAGTTTCACTGTCTAAACAGAATGTGCGTGAGTGAGTGAGTGAGCATGCTTCATTTTTAGACATCATGTGAGTGAGTGATTGAGTGAATGAGTGAGCATGCTTCATTTACTAGATATGTCCCTAGACGATGCAGTTTTACCGTCTAGACAGTGAGTGAGTGAGAGAGTGAGCATGCCTCATTTACTGGACAGAATAGGAAAGAGTGATTGAGGGACCGAGAGGAAGAGTGAGTTAATGAGTGAGTGAGTGAGTGAGTGAGTGAGTGAGTGAGAGTGAGTGAGCATGCGTCATTAACTAGATATTTCTTCAGCCGATGCAGTTCATCATCTAGACAGAATGTGTGAGTGAATGTGTGAAACGTATAATTGAATGAATAAACCCTTTGAAAGCCATGTCAACTCCGTTTTCATTGCTACAACAGCGTCTGACAGGCTGCTTAAAGACAGACAGTAATTCCCCTGCTGTTGGCTGTGCTTCACTAAACAGTCATCAATGCCACTGTTGGTTTTGCTTCACTTAACAGTCAGTAGTACCCCTGCTGTTGGTTTTGCTTGACTAAACACTCAGCAAAGCCACTGTTGGCGGTGCTTCACTAGACACTCAGTAATGAAATGTGTGGTTTATTCTTCAGTAGAATTTGGTCATAAATTCAGGGCGGTTGTGACACGAGGAATACCTCATCCCTCAAATTCTCGCCCCTTATTCCCCGTGCTACCTCCTCACCAACCCCTACCCCACCCCAACCCCCAAACACACGCACAGTTACTTTCTCTTTCACACACACACAAAAACACACACACACATTCTCTCTCTCTCTCTCTCTTTCACACACATACACACGAAACAACAAACTCGCAGCATATGCAGACCATTTATTGGTTACGAAATAACATTTAGTGCAGCTATTTCATCCAACCTGTTAAGTCAGGTCGGGACCACCCTTCATCTTCTGTAGGATAGCACTGACTGCATCAGGGGAGCCAATCTTGAAGATGTTGGAAGGTCTCGAAGCAATTAGGTTGATTGTGGAATTGGCATCTACTTCCGAGATAGCAACAACAAATACCTCAGCTTTGGCTTTCAGAGAACCAATACTGGCAGCAATGGCCTCCCGGTCCTCAATTGTGGTGTACCCATCGGTTAACATGATGACCTTGTTGTCAGCGTCATTGCGGTCGCCATTGGAAATTGTACTAGTTGCCAGCTTGATGGCATCGCCGATGTTCGTAGAAGGACCCTCTTCGTATGTCTGCTGTTTGAGAGCTGCCAGAACGCCCGACTTGTTGTTGCTATGCTCATTGAATCTGAATACCACTCTCGCCTTTGAAGAAAACGCTATCAATGCAACGTTAACAGCATCAGGGCCTATGTTGGTAGAGTTTACCATACTCTCTTGGAATCGTTTCATTTCGTCAAAGTTGGGTTTGCCGATGGAGCGTGAAACATCTTCTACAATCAGGATGTCTAGCTTCTGGTCAATGGAGACTGGAAAACAAACGTGCAATATGTAATGATTGTGTTAAGTCTGTAGATGAAGGGACTTTGTTGTTTGTTACAGTGTTACACGTATATAGATACGATATATAGATAGATAGATTTGTAAATATAAGCGATTAATGGAAGGGCGAGGATGGCTGACTCCATTGTCTGACATGACTCTTCGTGTGAGGGTGTCAATACCGCGAATTTCTTGTTTTGTCCAATAAACAACCCCAAAAGAATACGAAAGGATAGATACAGAATAAATATTTGTGGCTTTAATTTTATGGTGAGCATTCACTCCAGATTTTCTTTCGTCTATATTCTGACCGGAGGTTTCCCTTGATATGGGCATATTGGAGTTTGTAATTATTATTGACACTAAATGTATTCAGCATCTTCCGCATATGCTGCTGATACAACTACCACTACTTCCGCTACCAAAAGAAGTTCTCAATCGTGAAGAGTGCACTTCCTATGACTAGTGTTACTGAAATACTGTTCATAGGGGCGGCAATTGTGAAAGTTGTTTTCAATTGTGATAATCAGGGCATGGTCTTCATGACAGTTTTAGAAGAGTGGAAATCAGTGTCTGCACGCCATGACAGCTTTAGAAGTGTGACAATCAGTGTGTGATGCAATGGCTGTTTGTAAAGGGTGGTAGTTAGTGTGTCAACGACAGTTCTAAAAGTGTCATAATCAGGTTGTGGTCGCCATGACAGTTCTTAAAGTGTCATAATCAGGTTGTGGTCGCTATAACAGTTTCGAAGGGGTGAAAATCAGAGCATGGTTACATAACAGTTCCGAATGATGGACCAACGGCCTGAAAATCAGGATATGATCGCAATGATAGTTCCCAAAGGATGAATCTCAGTGTGTGAACGCTATCCCAGTTGTTAAAGGGTGACAATCAAGCTGGAATATTGCTGAGTGTGGCGTCATACAGCAAACAAACAAACAAAAACAATCTGACACGCCGTCATATTGCTGAAAAACTCTTAAAAGATGCATTGATGCGAACTCATTCCATCATGGCCATTCTGAAACCTACCTGTACAGTTCGCACCCGAAAACTGAGGTGGACAGGCGCAGCTGTAGCCATTCCATATCTCCGTGCACGTGCCCCCATTTGCACAAGGTTTATATCTCTCACAGTCTGTGATATCTGCCAAATGAAATATGAAGCTTAATTAGTTTCCAGAAAGTGTTTTGAAATAAGAATAAAAGAGCCAAAGACAGCATCTATGCAAATACATCAGTTTGTTGAAGGTTGCTAATCAATATCTGAATGCTATGACAGTTTTTTTAATGTTATCATCAAGGGGTGGTCGGCTTGCTTGTTTTAAAAGGGAGATAATCAGGATGTGGTCGCCATGTCAGTGTTTAAATGGTAATCAGTGTGTAGACGACATGACAGTTTGGAAAGGGTGATAATCAGGATGTGGTCACCAGGACAGTTTTTAAAGATTGTTACCAGTGTGTGAACGCCATGACAGTTTGTAAAGGGCGATAAGCAGGTGTGGTCGCCATGCCAGTTTTTAAAGGGAGATAATCAGGATGTGGTCGCCATGTCGGTTTTTGAAGATGGTAATTAGTGTGTGAACGGCATGACAGTTGTTAAAGTCAGGTAGTCAGTGTGTTAACGACATGACAGTTTGTAAAGGATGATAAGCAGGTGTGGTCGCCATGATAGGTTTTAAAGATGGTTATCATTGTGTAAACGACATGATATGTTTCGAATGGGTGGAAATCAAGATATGCACGCAAACAATTCTGGTAGGTCTCTTTTACAGTTTTGAGGGGATGAAATTCAGGGTGTGATTGCCATTACACTTTCGAAGTTTTGAAAATCAGTGTGTGGTCACTATAATAGTTTCGCAGGGGTGGAAGTCAGGATGTGGTCGTACAGACAAATTCAAAGGTGCGAAAATCAGAATGTGGTTACCATGACAGCTTTGAACGGGTCCGAAGCAGGCTGTTGTTGCCAAGAAGTTTTGAAGGGGACAGAACCAGGGTATTGTCTCTATGCAGTTTCGAGTAGGTGCAAATCAGGACATGGTCGGTGTGACAGTTTTGAATGCGTGCAAATCTTGGTATGGTCGCAAATACAGTTTTGAGGGGGTGAAAGTCAGGGTGTGGTCGCTATGAAGGTTTCAAAATCAGTGCCTGGACCACATGACAGTTGAAGGGTTGAACATCAGTGTGTGGTGGCAATGACACTTCCGCTTGGATGACGATAAGGATGTGGTTGCCATGACAATTTGGAAGGTGCTAAAATCATGGTGTATTTGCCATGACAGTTTCAAAGGTGTGGAAATCAGGTAGTGGTTGACTTGACATTTTCAAAGGGTGACGATTATGTTGTGGTCATTATGTCAGTTTCAAAGGGGTGAAAAATCATTTTTTGGACACCATGACGCTTTTGTGGGGGATTAAATCAGTAGTGTAGTTGAATCTTTGAAAATCAAAAGAGTTTTGAGGAGGTGAAATTCAGGGTGTGGTTGCTGTGACAGTTACGAGACCTGGAAATCAGGGTGTGGTCAGTATGTCAGTTTGGTCATGTAAAATTCCGGATGTGGTTAGCTATGACAGTGTAGATTGGATGCGAACCAGGGTGTGGTCACGATGACAGTTAAGAGGTAATAAGAATCAGGGTGTGGTCACTATGTCAGTTTGGAGGGGTGAGAATCAGGGTGCTGTCGTTATGACAGTTGAGAGGGGTTAGCATCAGGCTGTGATTACCAGGACAGTTTCAAGGTGGTGAAAATCAAGCTGTGGTCACTGTGACAGTTCGGAGGGAATAAGAATCAGGGTGTGGTCACTATGTCAGTTTGGAGAGGGTGAGAATCAGGGTGTGGTCACTATGTCAGTTTGGAGGAGGTGAGAATCAGGGTGTGGTCACTATATCAATTTGGAGAGGGTGAGAATCAGGGTGTGGTCACTATGTCAGTTTGGAGGAGGTGAGAATCAGGGTGTGGTCATTATGTCAGTTTGGAGGAGGTGAGAATCAGGGTGTGGTCACTATGTCAGTTTGGAGGAGGTGAGAATCAGGGTGTGGTCACTATATCAGTTTGGAGGGGGTGAGAATTAGGGTGTGGTCACTATGTCAGTTTGGAGGGGGTGAGAATCAGGGTGTGGTCACTTCGTCAGTTTGGAGGGGTTAGCATCAGGCTGTGATTACCAGGACAGTTTCAAGGTGGTGAAAATCAAGCTGTGGTCACTGTGACAGTTCCCAAGGGCCGAGAATCAGGGTGTCATTGCCATGACAGTGCAGAGGGGGTGAGAATCAGGGCATCATTGCCATGACAGTGCAGAGGGGTGAGAATCAGGGCGTCATTGCCATGACAGTGCAGAGGGGATGTGAATCAGGGTGTCATTGCCATGACAGTGCAGAGGGGGTGAGAATCAGGGCCTCATTGCCATGACAGTGCAGAGGGGGTGAGAATCAGGGCGTCATTGCCATGACAGTGCAGAGGGGGTGAGAATAACGGCGTCATTGCCATGACAGTGCAGAGGGGGTGAGAATCAGGGTGTCATTGCCATGACATTGCAGAGAGGATGAGAATCAGGGCGCCATTGCCATGACAGTGCAGAGGGGGTGAGAATAAGGGCGTCATTGCCATGACAGTGCAGAGGGGGTGAGAATCAGGGCGTCATTGCCATGACAGTGCAGAGAGGATGAGAACCAGGGCGTCATTGCCATGGCAGTGCAGAGGGGGTGAGAATCAGGGCGTCATTGCCATGACAGTGCAGAGGGGGTGAGAACCATGGTGTGTAGTCACTAGACAGTTTAGAGTGGTGAGATAGTAAAGTAGTACTCTAAGACTTACCAAAGCAAAATCCTGATTGACTAACGCTCGTGGTGAGATTATATATTTCTCTATCGCCACACATCCTCGTCTCGATGGAAAATGACTTGAAACATTTGTCACGATTCGACCTAACACACACAACAGAGGTATCTCCACTTTTAGCTGGAAACAAACAGAATTAGAGTTTTAGAACTAACTGAAATTAAACTGTGATGTCATTAAAACAGCCAAATTATGAATTGAAATAAAACACTCAGTTATGACTTTCTATTCTATACTAAAGATACTGATGAAATAAAGAAAGCCATGTAATGGTGTCCTGATGATGTTACTACAGTGAAGGCAGATAACACAAAACACAACACAGTAAAACACATCAACACATATCAACAAACATCACCACACATCACAACACACTTCGCCACACATCATCACACATCACCACACACTTCGCCAAACGTCAACATACATCACATGTATCACACACATCACCACACATCACCACACACTAACACAAACTAGCACACACCAACATACATCAACATACATCAACATAAACTAAAACACATCAACACACATCAACACACATCACCATAACCTACAACACATCACAACACACCAACACACATCAATACATATCAACATAACCTACAACACATCACAACACATCACAATACATCACAATGCATCACAATACATCGTAACACATAAACACACATCACAACACATCAACACACACTAACATACATCACAACACATCAAGACACATCACAACATATCAACACATATCATCATGCAACAACGCACATCTCCACATACTAACACAAACTAACACACATCAACACACATCAACACACATCAAAACACATCAGCACACATCAGCACACTAACAGAAACTAACACACAACAACAAACATCACAATGCTTCAACACACATTACCACACGACACTACACATCACTACACATCAACACACATCAACACACTAACAGAAACTAACACACATCAACACACATCACAATGCATCAAAACACATCACTACACATCAACACACATGAACACACATTACTACACACTAATACAAACTAACACACATTACCACACGACACTAGACATCACCACACATCAACACACATCAAAACATATCACACACATCGCAGCACATCAACAAACATCAACACACATCAACACATTGCAACACATTGCAACACATCAACACACATCAACACAAACTAACACACACCACAACGCATCACCACACATCACTACACTTCACTACACAACACATCACTGCATATCACGTCACATCACCACACGTCAACACACATTACAACATATCACCACACATTATTACACTCCAAAACACATCAACACATATCGACACACATTATCGCACACCACCACACACAACCACACTTCACCATACATCACCACACATCACAAATCATCACCTCACCACACATCACAATACATCCCAAAACATCACTACACATAACCACGAATCACCACAAACCAGCCCAAGATATAACCACGTCATCCTATTTAATCAAACACCACCACATCATGTAACCACACCGCTATGTTGTCACACATCATCACACCATGTCACTCTGTGCTACCACACACCCTCACATCTTATAACCAAACCGCTATGTTGTCACACAACATCACACTATGTCACACTATGATATCACACACCACCGCACCATGAAACCACACCACTCTGTTGTCACACACCATCACAACATGTCACTCTATGCGACCACACATCATCACATCATGTAACCACACCACTATGTTGTCACACACCGTCACACCATGTCACTCTATGCTACCACACACCACCACATCATGAAACCACACCACTATGTTGTCACACACCGCAACACTATGTCACTCTATGCTACCACACACCACTGCACCATAAAACCACACCACTATGTTGTCACACACCGTCACAACATGTCATTCTATGCTACCACACACCACCACATCATGTAACTACACCACTAAGTTGTCACACACCGACACAACATGTCACTCTATGGTACCACACACAACCACATCATGTAACCACACCACTATGTTGTCACACACCGACACAACATGTCACTCTATGATACCACACACAACCACATCATGTAACAACAGCACTATGTTGCCACACACCGCCACAACATGCAAACACGTGACTTACACTTTCTGTAAATCGGGTTGATGGTGTTACAAGTAAAGCCTTTTCCAGTGTCCCGGCTGAGCAGCTTCCATTTCACTGGGGCCGCATACCACCCCGGTTGCAGTTGTGTGTCATCGGTATCGAGCCATCCGATGTCGTTGGGCTGTCGAACCTCGATGTTTACAAGTTCTGTGAAGTTTTCACACGGATCTGGATCACACAGGACACAGCTCAAGTAAGTATCAGTCAGTTCTGTTTACTCCTTTAAAAGGAGTGACGTGCCAAGACATATGTTTGTGTGTGTGCTTGTTTGTTTGTTTGTACCAGTGATTGATATCATAAACACTGGTATGTGCATTTGGGTAAGATGGCATGCGTCAACTAAGTTAGCGAACCTTACCACCCGATCCCGTTGGTCGCTTTTTACGACAAGCATGGGTTGTTGAAAAGTGTATACAACGCATTTCACTCTCTCTACACACTCGCTAGCTAAGGATGTTGTGGGTAAATCAGTATCGCCACTAGCGGGTTGGGCGTTTTCACAGGTGAATCCAGATACTGTCTGGACGATAGGACATGTGTCAGGAGGAACAACTATGATACAAAAACTGTACAATTGTCGAACCGATCTTGTGAACTTCAGGTGCTTATGGCTTCATGGATTCAGTGGACGCAGTGGGTGTTTGCTGCTATAAAGGGTTTCAAGTGTATTCAAGGGATATATCTATATATTATATGTGCAGCCAGCCATCGTTGATATTTCTCTTAGTAAAACAATTCCTCAAAACATTATATGACCATTGGTCTGAAACGTGGTGGGTGAGATAGTCATCAAAATAAGAAGTTAGTTGAAAAATATATTGACACAATTCACGATTAAAATTTCGAAAACTGAACAAGTGAACCTTTCGGAATGTCTTATACACTCTTCAAAAAAAGAAACGCACAGGTAGATGTGTAGTAAATATATTGTACCTAATAAAGACGATATATATAGTTTAATATCATAGATACAAATATGAAATTTTGGAGCTCGATAATCACATGAAAACTGTTCACTGTCATGTCACATAAAGCTACAAGGTTGTGCTGAACTCAATATCTCGTGTCACTGCCCCGGGCAGCAATCTCTGCATCTCCTCGGCACTCACTGGATAAGTCAAAGAATTCTGCCCTGCGGATTTCTGCGCCATTCTGCTCGTAACGCGTTGACAAGTTGCGGGAGTGTCTGCTGCGTGTTCTGACGTTGACGTACACGTCGATCGAATTCATGCCAGACGTGTTCGATTAGGTTGAGATCTGGAGATCTCGACTGCCAGGGCAAAACGTTGATGTTGGTATTATGAAGGTAGTCTACCGTAACACGAGTTGTGTGCTTCGAGCTTTGTCCTGATGAAACAGATCCCTCTGGCGGTCAATGATTGGAAGAATTTAGGGTTGAAGAATTTGATTCATGCACCGATTCGCTGTCAAATTTCCCTGAACCACAATCAAGTCAGATCTCGTAGGATATGGCCCCCAAAGCCATGACACTAAAGCCACAAAAATTGTCGAATTCACGTACACAATGTAGGCAAAACGCTGATTTTGACAACGATTAACACGTTGTCTTCCATCTCGCCGGTGAAGAAGAAAATGTAATTCATCGCTAAACCACACTCGTCTCCATTTTCTCAAATTCCAAGGCTTTAAGGTAAGGCACTGTCGATGGATCTGTTGCAAAACAGGGACGATAACTGGTCTTCTGAGTCGGATTCCAGCCTCGCGAAGATGGTTCCTGACAGTCTGGTGCGATATCCTCCTCAAACCATGCGTCCTACAGTCTTCGAAGCTGTGGCTTTGTGATGGCGTATGTGGAACAGTCGAATTTAGTGATCCTAAGCAGGGGTGGTAACTCTTGGTCGGCTGGTTCACGGACGGTCTGCAGTGGAATTGAACTGTGTGTATCGTTCCCAAAGGCGGCACATTGTGCTGTGATGGACGTTAAAGTGGCGATACGTTTGGATACGTTTGGATACGTCCTGTGGCGATGTTCCAATCGGCAGCGCTGAGTCTCGGCATTTTCGAACGTGTTGACAATTGAATGACAAATTATTGGCATATACTTGCCTTTTTATTGCCACTACCACGAGTTGCAAATGCTATAACTTGCACGTGCACTTTGCTTTACTATTTTCCTCCATGACATTTTTTTAACAATTGTCAAAACAATGCCGTTAAAAACATTGCAAATCGACAATGGCTGCGTTTTGACGCACCGTTTGTCGAATATAAGGTCACCAACATTTTGCAATAACATATATCCAATTTATATACCCAATGTTTTGTGTAGTCAGGTTCAATGAACTACACACTACCTGTGCGTTTCTTTTTTTGAAGAGTGTATATGGTTGAGAGTGTATGACAGTGTTTCCTACGTACTGTGCTACGCCTCGTCCGTTCTAATGTTTATCCCACGGAAGCGAGAGATAATTGTGATGGAATCAGTCGTACGGGCCGTAACTGTCGTTCGGAATACCCCGTGATAACGTTTCCAAGGTTGCATATTTAGGAAATACATTCCGACTGTCACTTTCATGATCTGGTAAATCGATCTTGGTCGGATGAAAGGTCGTTCTGACGTGACCCGTTATGGGATGTCCTCAGATCTTTGTTTAGCAGCAGCGAGAACTTAGATCTGATTTTAATGAGATTGCCATCATAATGTTCTTCACCTCAGAAACCACGTGATCAATGTAGCTGAAACTTCACATTTTTCTTCCCACAAATGATGACACCTGAATTTGTTAAAGAGGTATGAATCCGATTTCTTTTCGATATGGGGATATTACAGTAGGTCTATAATACCATTCATTTATCATAATAATGCAATCACTTCTGATTCAATACCTGGACTCTAATATTTCGTACTCAACTTACTTTGAAGAGCTAATGATTTAATTCAATCTATGGTTATTCCATAGAATAAAACGTAAAGTGTCAATAGGGCAAGAGATATGTGATACGTTTGGGCGACAGTAACCAACTTACCCTGGCTGAAGCACGAGTGACAAATCAGCAGGAGAAGCAGCAGTATTATCGGAACCTTGAAGAATCAACATTTGAAACAATTGAAAGTCTGCTTCAAAATAAAAGCAATTACATTTCCTAAAAAAACATCGAGGCAGGCAAACCGGTGGTTGACATAAGTGGTGAAAATATGAACCAAAAAGATATACAATACATTAACTGAGGGGCAAAAGAAAGTTTTTTATGTAATTGAAATGTTGTCAAATTATATTATGTCTATTTAACCAATTGCAATTGTTGTTACTGTTAATCCTCCACCTACTATATATATTCTGTACAATGTTCCTCATTCAGTCTTGCTTGACCACGGTATAAGGATCTATACCGAAACGTCACCTTTACAGTATTAAATAAGTTATTATCCATAAAATGTATCTACTTTGAGGTAATATATTTCCCTTACAAATGTTGAGTAGTATATTATGAACTGTGGACCTTATGTATCCTAACGGAGAGGCAAACATGGGATTCTGACAACAGGGGGTATGAGGATTCCAACAAGTAGGTATGCATGCCAACAAGTGGGTATATATGCCAACAAGTAGATATATTTTACAACAAGTAGGTATGCATGCCAACAAGTAGGTATATATTCCAACAAGTAGGTATATATGCCAAGTAGATATATATGCCAACAAGTAGGTATATATGCCAACAAATAGATATATATGCCAAAAAGAAGGTATATATTCCAACAAGTAGGTATATGTTCCAACAAGTAGGTATGTATGCCAACAAGTAGGTATGTATGCCAACAAGTGGGTATATATTCCAACAAGTGGGTATATATTCCAACAAGTAGGTATATATTCCAACATGTACCTATGTATTCCAACAAGCAGGTATATATTCCAACAAGAAGGTATGTATTCCAACAAGTAGGTATATATTCCAACAAGTAAATATATATTCCAACAAGTAGATATATATTCCAACAAGTAGGTATATATTCCAACAAGCAGGTATATATTCCAACAAGTAGGTATATATTCCAACAAGTAGGTATAAATCCCAACAAGCAGGTTGGAATAAAACAAACTGGAGTATGTGTGATTTGGTAAAGAGTTATTTTCATCTATTAGTCATTAACCGTAATACAATGTTACATTTGAGTCAAGGCCTTTGTCGGCTTCAATCTAAGTTGAAGAACTGCCTACTGGATGCGTGACGGAGATGTATAAACATTAATTCCGAATTTGAAAGCGATAATACATTGTCCCATAATTTCAATCAGTAATTCAGAGTAAAAGAAGTCCACATCAGACAGATTTCAGTTACTGATCAATGAAGGTAAACTTCCCGGCAAAAGAAGGTAACACTTAAAATTGGATTTGCCCAAACATTACACACGTTATCCAGACGTTACCTGGCTGAAAAAAGTTGTCAAAACACTGAAAACGTCAGGCCAGAAACACAACTAGTTACCCGTATCAAACACAACTAGTTACCCGTATCAAACACAACTAGTTACCCGTATCAAACACATCCCCATCGAATATATCCATTTCTTGTTTGTTTCATATAAGTCACACAAACATGGGTGTATACTTTCTTTTCCCCCGGCAGTTTAGTTAATTCGGGACCGTTAATTTAGTGGGGATACGGATTAATTAAAGTTCAGTTTAGACAGAACTAATTTCAGCAGATAGACACCTAAGTAAATATAAAATCTGCAATGTTCATAAGAAATTCTTAACGAATTGAGTGGGGAGAGGAAATCCGACATTGAAGCCAAAGTATAAATTTTAAGCATATGGATAACGGTAAACATTGTGTCTCGTACATATCCCAGAATATATTTTTAATAAAACATTAACCTCCATTCAACTATCATCCCTTTCTCAGCTGTAGTAGCCTTTACTCATCCCCTTTCCAGCTCTAGGCTCAGGGTTTCCTTAAATACTCGTACATAGTGTAGGTTCCCCTGCAGAATGTGTTTTAGTTAGCCTTATCTATAATTTGAAAACAACTTACCTTCTCCATTGTCAAGTGTTCTACCCAGTGTGGTGCTGCTGCAAGTGACGGAATGGTTTTATATGCTGGAGTTGATGTGTAACATGTGTAGCCTATGAAATAGCTTGGCTGTGCAAACACGAATACGTCGTTATTTTCCGTATATGGTCATTGAGAAAAAAAGACGTTTTGGGGACTCTTTCTCAACATCGGTTTTCTGTCGAATTAACGTCGTTATTTGTCATGGGAAATTACTGCGAATGAACGATTTTATCAAGCTCCTCCCTTTTCAGCGTAAACCAGCGAATACCGGCATTGCTCGTTCTCGGATTTCATTGGTCAGCTCTTGCGGGTTATGTTACGGGCCGGAGTTTCTAATATTTACATTCCCGATTTCGTGGTTTGTAACTCGATGTAACGTCGCAGCTGCTGGAAGCTGTACGTGCATTAATTAACGTAACCAGGATCGACGGTTTTAGCACAAGGGACTTGCTGCTATGCCAGTCGATACTTTTTAAGTTGATTTAATGGCATTAGATAAAGATTAATAAAACAATATTTATACATATATATAATACAAAAAAACATTTATCATACAAAATAGCATCAAAACTATTTAGGGCTTTAGTTTTTTTTAATGACAATGTCATAATCATTGGTAATAATCACCACATATGTTAGTTTTATCAATGTCAGTATCCGAACTTTTAGCCTACAAAATAAATGTGTGTTTTGGCAAACGGTAATGACGGATGCGCAAACGCTTTACATACAGCTATATTTGTTGGAACGGTTCGCCTTGACGTAGACAGGATAATGACGTTCACGAGTTCTGAAGATACATGCTCACAACCAGATTGTCTTGTACAATACTATTTTACTAAACCTCCGCCTAGCCCTTATAGCAATGAGATAGTCCTCGATGAAGCAAGTCTATATTTTGCAACAGACTGAACCTCGCTGGGGCTCCTTTCAATTTAAATGCAGTTGTTTGTTTCTATCACCAGTGTATTTCAGTTACTAAGTGGTAATCGAGCTCACAACCTGAGTAGTATGCAAATATTGATCTGACTGTGGCATTTTAAACAGTGTATAGATACATGTTCCGACTTCTGTCAGAAGCTGTTCGTAAAATTGATGGCATATGTACTATATTTTCAATAGTCAGGAACACGCTACTCTTAAGCCTCAATTGATTTTGTGGATATGTTAAAACCAAACACATCTGCATACTGTTACTGTTTGTACCAAGCTTAATCAGCAAAATAAGTATGATTATGGAACATTTTGATTTCATATCATCCCAAGGTAGCTACAGCTTACTTAAAGCTGTAGTTATCATGTCACCGTCCTTAAAAATATGTTTGTTTATCAAAGGCAATTAAGATTAACATTCAATTCACCATACACGTAAGCGTTGTTTATGCCAGTCAGACAAAGACCAACGCTGTCCAGTTTGATGATATTTTAGACCCCTGTGAATATTCCTGGCGACGAAAAGCCCCAATGTTCCTGGGAATCCCGTTGATACATTTATCCTCGGCATTTGGCTACCCTAAGAGAATCACATCACGGACCTAAATAAGCTGGATAAGAAACGCTACTGATAGCCTCTGGTCAACTCTGCCGCGCTATCGCAGAATGTTTATTCAACTTGGCAGGGGATGTTCGCAGTGGCACGACGCATCATTGTCTTCGCCTTCAACAAAAAGGGCGGACACGTGAAATCGCGTGTAATTTGCCAATTTTAGGTCGCTATCTCTATCTCTATTAATTACGCAATAAGGTCCTTAGTCCTTAGCAGAAACTCTGCTAACTTTACAACACGAATGTGATAAAACATTCTTGATATTCTTATTTAATAATGAAACTTTAAGTCTCTGAAAATTTATGTTTATGCAACCTAATTTGGCACTTTTTCATCACAACCCCAAGTTAGGCCTCGAAAAACTAATACATATTTGAGAAATCTAAGACTTTTAATACCAATATGCACGCGCATGCATTTTTCTTCATGAAGCAAATTTAGTTAAATAATGTGTTATTGATAATTTAGCATAAAATGTACGAAAATCAACTAGTATTTCACACTTGAAAGAAACTATATTTTTGCGAGTATAGTGCGCGGGTTTTCTACACAAATATATAGCTGTGTATTGGATGAGACTATAATACACGCCACAATGAGTTTTAATCATTTTAAAACGCAAAGTCATTACCGTGTGCACATAACACCTGAAACACCATGTCAACAAATCTTCACTAAAGTACGCAATATATTCCTCACAATGAGCTTGATGTGGCACGAAGAAGATGTATACAAACACCCACAGGGCTAAGGGTACAAGGGTAGTTGTCAACATTCATATACACCATGTAATACAAATATTGCTATTATTTTGTCTAGAGAGGAAATGCAGATTAACTTTGCATTAACATTTTGTAAATGAAATAGGAGATCATTTTGCATAAGGCACTTGTGAATGTTGTGGTATTTTAAGTGATATTGGTTGTATAGCGAAGGCGGGTGGTGATATTAGTTTCATTTTCAGATCTTTTTAGAGAGGGCATTTCAACATAAAGTGTTCCTCATCTAACAATGAGCAAGGAGAAAGGTCCCTCAGATCTATCCAGTTACATTGTCACTGATAATTATTTTGGATAGTACATTATTTGATATGATAAAATTCAGTTACTGATATCTAAAAATCGATTTGCGACACCACTAAACATTTCATGATATAATCATATTTGTTAAATAAATTCATTCTTTGTTTCCCGTAAACGAATTATTGATATAAAATAAGGAATAAATAGTAAAAAGGCGCCCTATGTATTGTTCTTTGTGGATTGTATTGAGTGACACGATTGCATCAGGGTTATAATGTAAATAGCCAGTCTTTTTTTCTGCACCATCATTTCTTTAATCTCATGAAAAGATGTTTAAAAAATGGCAACTTATGGGATTTATGGGACTAATGGGATTTAAACTAAACCGACCAGCGTTTATTTATCATTCTGTCATTATTATCGTAAACATGTGTCTACTTTTAAGTGTATGTACTTATACTATACATCATACTTTTTTAAGGAATGACTCGTCATCGAAACATATATGTTCTGTATGCATATATATGCAGCACAACGGTACTTTGATTCTATAAGATTACTGTGCAGCGGTTCGGCCCTTGTTTTCAGACCTTCCATTCAGACAAATAAATCAGGTGTGAAGTTATCAAAATCTCACCGGTTATAAAGATTTGATGCAAACTGACTTCCTACCTATACAGTGTGTACGTATAATTACATGGCTGTATGTGTGTATGGTGTGTATGATAACTTGGATGCATGTATGTATATACATAATATGTGTGTGTGTGTGTGTGTGTGTGTGTGTGTGTGTGTGTGTGTGTGTGTGTGTGTGTGTGTGTGTAAATGTAATCTATAATACTCAATAATATAGAACTCTCTTTATATGACACTCTATAATATAATACTCTACAATAAAATACTAATGTAAAGTAATGTAATGTAATGTAATGTAATGTAATGGTTATTCGAGGCTATTGGAAAGATTTACTTGGTGTGGCCACGTGGACAGTTTCACAATAGGGGTTATGAATTTTTACAACTGCCCAAATGATCCTGCTGAGTGATTGTGCTTGCCGAAGGTGATACTAGTAATCTATTATTAGAGGAAATTAGTTACTTGATACTATATATACAGGATATATACCAGCGAGCCTGACCACCCGATCCCGTTAGTCGCCTTTTACGACAAGCATAGTCGCCTTTCACAGCAAGCATGGGTTGCTGAAGACCTATTCTACCCCGGAATATTCATGGGTCCGATGCGTTTGGGCTATGTGTTTCTGCCTATTGGTGTTTAAACCAGTACAACAATTTAAAATCACATTAGTAGCTAGGTTGCTACTCCAGCCCACTATTACGTAACCACCACCCCGTACATCACCCTCATTAAAAAGTCATTTATCAAACTACCACATGCTGATTTTGTTATCTTTTAATCTCCACTAAGCCATAAACATAACGCCCCAATCATCTTTGATATCCACTAATCCATAAACATGGTATTTATTAACATAAGGTTTACTACGTTAGCGTCATTCTCCAAACACATATGGTAATTATGTACTTACATCTAGGGTCATAATACCCAGTCTCGCACAGTTTAACAGTGCACGCGGCTAATTTAATTACCTGCAACCTTTCACTCCCTCCCACCTGGTGAGTGTCACAAAGTTTAACTCAGTAAAAAATTATAGGCTCGCATTCTATGCAACCACACAGCGTAAAAGCTAAATTGCATAAAACCGTATCTAAACAATCTATTTAAATCAATACCAGTCTATGTGCAAATACTGCCCAGCCTGCTATCATACAATGCAATCTGCAGCAATCTGCAGCAATCTGCTTCCCCAACCGCACCTTCATGTACCCAGTCGCGCACAGAATCCTATGCTATCTGGCTGTAGAGGTGTATAGCAACTGGGAGCTTTTTAGACACCTCTACTTCCATCTTAACCAATTCAACATCGAAATATTGAAGCTGCATGTGGATTTTGAACTACTAGAACGCTTCTACATCAGGAATGAAGAAAAGAAGGAACGGTAAGTGCCAACAGACCTTACTGCATCTTGCAATCTTATTTAACATATTAGCAAGAGTGCCACTTGTGTGCTTTATAATGTGTATGATGATCAATAATTAAACACGGCTTCTTTTCGTTGCAGCCGAAGAACCACTACGGGAGATTTTCTGCTCAGCCTTCAGCTACCGGTACATAAAATGGCGTGTAATCACACACCCCTCAAATTAAGTCGTCACAACACCACACAGCTTCCCATCATATACGAAGATGAGGGGCACACACTGCCGGGGAGAGCCGGCAACATGCATTCGGGATTGTTTCAACACCAGAAAAGGAAGGCGTATTTCCGGCTCTGCTAAATGTTTATACTTATGCATTAAATAATGTAGCTTACAAACCGTTTTAGACTTATTATCTAATTCATTACAAATAGGGTGGGCTGTTTTCAGCCTTAGTAACCGCTGTATCATTAGCATTTTTACCCTCATCAAGAGCATGTCCACAAACTTCATGGCAAAATGGTGTTGGTTCGCAAAAGTGAAGTTGCCGTATGGTAACAATGTAAATGGGTAACTCTCTCAACTATTTCTATTCTATTCTATTCTATTTCTGTAATATTCTAATTCACTATTTGCTAATTTAGAGAGAGATATCCATTTACTCCTTG